ACCTCAATATTATTTATTGTAAGTGGCCCTATATTACTGCCGTGCTAAGGAAGAACGCCGTATGAGCCATCAGGCGTTGCCACATTTCCCTCGAAATATTACACATTTTCAGAACATTTTATAAATATCTCCCTTCCAATTTTTCAGAGGATCTCATTCGTAATTTGACTTAAGAAGTCTGAAAATTGAAAGGAAAAATATTCCTATCTCTCCTAAAAAATAACAATTTTCCGAGAGGAAATTTGGCTACGTTCGAATGCTCATGCGGCGTTTTTACTCATCACGGCAGACTACCCCACCATTTGGACCGCGTTAAACAGAAAGGAACCAAGCCACATCAGTTATTGCCAAATTTAATTGGGCAATTTGATTTTTTACATGAAAACGGTTGTACGGATTTTCGTGCAAATTTCAGTGAAAATTCTCCATGGTACGAAGCAAATTCCTTAAAATTTTCGAAGAAACCCGAACAAACGTTCTCTCGTAAAAAATTTAATTGCCCAGTTAAACTTGGCAATAGATGGTGTGGCTTGGTTCCTTTCTGATAAACTCGGTCAATTTTGCTCTGTCATCATCGAGGCTGTCAAAATCAGAACTGTTAGTTAGAGTCGTGGCGCGGATGACGTCATCGTGAAAACAAACGATGACGCAGAGGGTTGAATGATCGCGGGTGCAGAAGTGGTGTTTCGCTTCCGGGTGTGGGTCGGTCGCGGCGCGTGGAACCGAGGAGGGATCCCTCGACTTATTGTCAAACCCCGTCGCTTACGCTTAACGTCGCTGTCCTCTCAACTCCGGCTCGTGAGGGTCGCCACCCCGACCGGGAATCCAAAGCGGGGTCCCGAAGCGAGCTCGCGCGCCAGTTTTCCCGGCGAAATTTCAGCGTCGCGAAAGCACCTCTCAAGCCCCAAGGTGTCTAGTTTTGTATAAAATCCTGTGAAATTCCGCGCAAAATCGTTGAAACAGAGGCACTGGGCTCTTCTTCAATTTCTATGTACTATTTTGCAACGAAATGGAGATGTTGCATGTGTGAGGAATTTGCGATTTGACTGTTGAATCTTAAGTAAAAGTTTGCGAGAAACACGATGGTGCCACTGGTTTTCTCTGAAATCAACTCTCAAGTTAAAAA